GTCCTCCAAAGCACATTACACTTTACATTTTTTAGGTCTGCTTGTATGTTTTCCACAAACGCCCCATCACTTTTTCACCCATGTTCCAGCATTCTCAATTTTAATTTTACATTTGGCCTCCCCATAGTTTTTAATCATGTGGTCTTATGGTTAATGTTAATGTTGCATTATTGTATTGTCCATGTTTTATTTTAATTGCTTGTATTGTTGTTGTTATTGCTTGCATTGTTGTGTTTGGGCTCAGCCTCATGTAAGCCACACCGAGTCCCTTGGGGACATGGTAGCGGGGTACAAATAAAGTGTTATTATTATTATTATTATTATTATTGGCGTCCTCCACAATCTTGAGCACCCACGCATCTGAGGTGATGAGTCGCCAGGCATCGATGTAGTGTGCTAGATGATCGCCCAATGGCGGGTGTCGAGGTCGGGGCCCGGGACTGGGAGCTGTGGAGTTTAACATGGTAGTGGCATCTGTACCAAATGACGAGCCGGTATCGTCCAAGAAGGCTTCAAACCCGGTGCCTGGGATGGTTGCCGCCTGACGCATGTCGAGCTCTGGGGCGCTGCTGTTGCTGCTGGCGACACTGCTGGGGTTGCTGTTGCTGTTGCTGTTGGGGTTGCTCCTGCGGGATCCCCAAAGGATGAAGTGTCTGGTGTTATGGATACTGTAGGTATGGAGCCTCATGCCAACTTCTTGTGTACTGGAACCACCGTGTCCTCTGTGCCTGGGCCTGGTTTTCGATCCCACATTTGGATGCTAGGATCTTAAAGTCCTGATTTGCTTTAAGCTTGTCATCGGTGCCTGCATTAAAGATTCCCAGGGCATCAAATGGAAGGTCTTCGATGACCTGCCTAGAAGAGGTTGACAAGCCTGAAGACCGGAGCCAGGCATGCCTCCTGATGGCGACCATGTGGGTGATCATCTTTCCAGCTGTGTCACCAGTGTGCTTGGCCATCTGCATCTGGTTATGCACCAGAGAATTCGCTTTCTGTGGCAAAGTGGTCAGGCCCGTATAACCTTCCTCTGACATGCGTTGAAAAAATGGAAGGGCTTTCTCCCAGAGGATCTGCTGGTACACCCCCATACACGCACCATAATTAGCCATCCTAGCCAGGTGGAGGGCACCCGAGTAAAACTTCTGACCGACAGCATCAAATCTTTTGCCCTCTCGGTTCGAGGAGTGTCTGCCGAACGATTGTGCTGCCTTCATGGCCACCGAGTTCGGATCAGAGTGGTGTTCCAGCCACTCCAAGCCCTCATCGTCTGTACGGTACCACGCCTCAATTTTCTTTGAGGTGGGCGGGATGGACAATGGGAGTCTTCCACGAAGCCTGAATAACGTCCAGGAGGTAGGGAAGAAAGGGCAACAACGGAGCCGGTGGTGCCTCAAATTGGACCCATTTGAAGACTGGCTCTGTCACCGCCTTGGAGGCATGTTTTATTTCCAGGCCTAGGGTATCCACCATGCGGGCCATCTGGTCTGCAAAGGCCCTGACATTGTCTGTCGGTGGCGGAGGATCTGCCTCGTACACATTATGTGTCGGGGACCTATCGATGCCCAAGGACAGTACCGTGCCAGAATGCACCGATGTGGCGAGTTCACCATCTTCCTCTTCTTCAGTCTCAGATGGGGAGGTGAGGAGGAAGGCTATAGAGGCGGAGGTGGCGGAGGGGAGGACGGTGGAGGAGGCTGTTTAGAGGCTGAGGATTGTGCTGAACGAACCAATCTGGCAGTCTTGCCTTCCTCTTTCTGGTGTAGCTAGAGAGATCTCTTGTCTGGCAGTAAGTCCAACTGGTGGAGGTGAATTTGGCACCTCGATCACCGTGTCCATTGAAATCACTGGTGACTCCGGATGATCCTGTTGGATCTCGGGAGGCAGCTTTTCCTCTTGAATAGATTGAGATGGGGGATTAGGCTGAATGAGCTGAATAGGCGAAGACCTCACTTATAAGGTGGCCGATGAGGCAGTAGTCGTTCTCCTCAAAGATGAGGAAGAAGAGGGTTGAGGCACCGGCTTCTTTTTTGCCGGCTGTTGGGTTGAAGTTCCCTTCGACATCGTCTTCCCAGGAGTAGGAGGGACAGACGAAGAGGAAGTTGCAGCTCAACACGATTCCTCGTGTACCCTCTTAAAGAGATGCAAGACAGCAATCTCGGAAACCAGCTTGAAAGCATCTGGATAAGAATCAAGGGAACTAGAACTCAAAAAGATGTTGCTGTAGGCATCTACTACACACCTCAAAGCCAGGAAAAAGAACTTGATGAAGTCTTCTGCCAACAGTTGGCCAAACAGGCACAGAGAAGAGATGTAGTAGTCATGGGCGATTTCAGCTATCCCGATATTTGCTGGAAAACAAACTCAGCCAAGAGTATAAAGTCCAACAAATTCCTTGCTTGCCTTGCAGACAATTGGTTCTTACCTTCCCATATCCTGACATTTCTTCAGAAGATGCCAGCCACAAATGCAGGTGAAACATCAGGAGAAAATGCTGCTAGAGCACAGCCATACAGCTCAGAAACCACACAACACTCCAGTGATTCTGGCTGCAAAAGTCTTCGACAATACAAAAAGTGATCTGTTTGGAATGCAGCATGGTTGATCTCTCCAGGTTTAACTGGAATTTCCAAATGGTTGCATGGTGGAATTCATATAAATTAATTCACTTTTGGTGTAAAATGGCATTTTAACTGATCTTGTGACAGTTCCTTGTCCTCTAAGGTATCCAATTATTTGGCAACGATGGCAGGAAAAGTATTTTTACCTAAGCTTTTGTCCCTTTGAGCAGCAATGGGTATGGTTAATAGCTTGCAGAAGTTTTCTGCTTACTTTGTGGATACTGTGTGGTCTGAAGAGCTGCTACTCTTCCTAATTCTGATGGCTGAGCTCAGTAATTTGAATTCCAGGTTTTCAACCTCAGGGAGTGAGCCAGAGGATGTGGTGTGTGTTGGAGTGCCCAAAATTTAGAATCACTGCGCTTTCTGCTTCCCCCTTGACCTATAAATTCACTTCCCTACAGTTTTATGTCTGCCTCTTTTGCCTTTAGAATTACTTCAGAGGTTGGCCTAGAAATTGATAGCCAGCAGGAAGAAGAATCATCTCAAGCTCCTGATGAGTCAGATCTTCCTTCCACCAGTCAAGACCCTCCTTCTAGTTCATCTGCAGGTATAATTCGGTCCAATTGAACACATCCATAAAATAGGATAATTAAGCTCTGAATTTTATTTTCCATTAAAGTGATCTCTTAGCTCCTCCCTCCAAACACAAGAACACTTTGTCTGAATTCATGAAATAAATGCTTGGTTATGTTTGGGTGCATCTCCCATTGGACTCAAGTGGCAGAAGAAAGAGGGCAATTTAGAAAGGATTGCCTGAAGGATATTGTGTTCATCAGTTCCCCAATATAAATGCTGTATAAATCTTTTGTTTCCTATTATTATTGAATAAACTTCTCAGTACAGTCCCATTGGTGTATCGCCATTTAATGCTGAGTTACAGTAAGTCATTATGAATGTTAACTAGACAGTAGCCAGTTATTTTTCAGATAGCGTTTGTATTTGCTGCACTTCCATAAATCTGAAGTACAAAATACACAAAACACAGCTTCTGTATTTAAATGAACCATTACTATACTTGCTAGCATCACTTATCGAACCCTAGGCACAACCCTTACTCTTCTGTCCCATGTCATTTCCTTTTCAGACACAAGCAGTAATCATCCCAAGCCTTTCCGGAGGGTTAGACTTCAGCCACCAACATTAAGAACTGGCGTTCGTGGTCGTCAGTTTAACAGACAGAGGGGTAAGCGTCCTTCAAGGCTAACAAGAGCATTGACTCATTCAGCCTTTCATAGTTGTTAAGAAAATTGAAGTGTGTACTAAATACTATTGTAGCTATCAACAGATTTCTGTACATCCGAGACTGCATATTATATCCTACCCTAGATACTTCTTCCAATTAAAAATAACAAATAGCTCTTAAACCCTGGTTTCAAACCACTACATAATGCTGGCTTTACTCTTTGTCTTTGTCTTCCTTTCCAAAACATTGAACACCTTGTTAGAGGGAGTAATAATTTAAATTGTCTAAACACATGTCAAGGAGCCCCCGGTGGCGCAATGGGTTAAACCCTTGTGCTGGTAGGACTGTTGACCAAAAGGTCGGTGGTTCGAATCTGGGGAACTGGGTCAGCTCCAGCTTCTCATACAGGCACATGAGAAAAGCCTCCCACAGGATGGTAAAACATCCGAGCATCCCCTGGATGATGTCCTTGCAGGCGGCCAGTTCTCTCACACCAGAAGCAATTTGCAGTTTCTCAAGTCTCTCCTGACACAAAAAAATCTTATGTGAAACCCAGAAACAAGTTTCATTCTTAGGATATGGAATAAAATTACATACTCGCTAATTTTAATATTCATGAGCTTCAAAGTTACGTTTCTGCAGCTCTAAATCCAATTACTAATTCCATATATAGACCCATTCAATCAGATCCTGAATAGTTCCTCAGTATTTAATTACTGGACCAAATCAAGTTAGTATTGGATTTCAGTGGAAGTCAGTTTGAACTAAAAAAAAAAGTATTTCCAGGTATGACCTGCTATCATACCTTTAGGAGAAATTGAGCAGAAATTTCCAGCCCACATTAAGCATATGGTGTTTATTACACTTCTGATTCTGAGCAGACTGTCCTATATGTTGTATGAAGGAATTGCTCTCCCCAAAGGAAGGCTTACCAGGAGGTTTACGGGAAATTAGGGATGCCAAGAAGTCCTGGAACACTGTCATTTAAAGTAGCAGAGGAATAATAATTAAATAGAAATATATGATATTGTTCTGCTTTTTCTTACAGGTGTAACTCACGCGATGGGTGGTAGAGGCGGCCTAAATAGAGGCAATATTAACTAAGTTCTGTACAAATTTTGGAAATGGTGTATGCTGTCTAATTGCATTTATTCTGTACTAGTGTAGCTTTAAGCAGTTTTTTTAGTTTTCAAATTAGATTGGTGTATGAACATTTCATTGTATTTTATTAATAAAAATGAGAGAAATTGTCAAAAAGGACAGCATTTCTTTCTGCTCTTGGAGTCTCCACATCATTCTGCAGGACACTTGTACCAAGCGTTGGAAACAGTCTGTCCAGTCTGAAGTGTGACTGGTCTTGCTATTCTGCTCCCCACATCCACGCTGTAATATTGATCTGAAAGAGAATGGGAGAGAATTATGTCTACATGTAGTCATATTAAGGTCCAAAAGTACAAATCTGGATTACACTTGTAATCCAGTACAAAAATATGTGAAACCTATGTTTTCTTAAGTCCTCAGAAGCTTCCTTGAATATTTTATGTGGAGGTCAGATGGGAGAGCCTGCATATTCATTGTATCACAGCCACCCTTTCCCACACTGACCAGTTGAATCTTAAGCGAAAACTGTTCCAGTTCATGGGGAATCTGCTATGCCATATGTCAACATGTGATTGAGATGCTGTGACAATAAACTATGACTTGCAGAAAGATCCTACTCACATTTCTCCAAAATCTGTGCTACTGATCGTGCTTGGTACTGTAGCTTTGTGTGGCTTAGGAGCTGGTGATATAGCCTCAGAAATTAACGATTCCCTTCCCCCTTCCCACTAAAAAGAAATAGACTTCAGATACCCATGAAAATATCTAACACATTGCTGATTTCTTATGTGATTTGGCAGTAGCGTGATTTTAACTCTTGGTATCTTAGAGCAGGGATGAGGAACCGGTAGCCTTCCAGGTGTAATCCAGATTCTTATCCATAGCTGTCTTTACCACTGGCCACACAGGAAAAGTCTGATGGCAGCTAAAGTTCAATAACACCCCCTGGGCCAAAAGTTGCCTATGTCTAATATTGAACTTCAGCTTTTGAAATATCCTATCAATTTTGTATTCACCTGTAACTGAAGTAATCTGACACCACGGCTATTACTAGCTACTTATTTTTTAAAAAGTACTCAGGCACACACAATGGTGGCAACACACAATTTCCTGTAGATTCCTGTTTGAAAACAAATTATTAAATGTTTCTTCATCATTAAAGATGAGTGATTTTAGTCAGAACATACCTTTAGAAAATGCATAGTAATCATAGCCATCTGGCTTCTGATAGTTAGGAACTGAAATAACAGAATTTACTTCTTTTGGAAATCCTCTCCAGTAAGTTGTCACTTTGACCTCTGGCTGCAGTATTCCTGCAAACACATAATAATCTCTCTTAAAGTTAGGAGTTAACATAAAACACTCAAAAGTGGGACATGGCCCATGAAACAAAACATTTAGGTATCTTAAACAAAATGAAACAGTTGAAAGAAAGACAGCCATGGTTCATTCTTTGGGCACAAGTAACCTGTAACGATCTACATCAGTGGTTTGCAACCTATGGGTCCCCAGATGTTTTGGCCTTCAACTCCCAGAAATCCTAACAGCTGGTAAACTGGCTGGGATTTCTGGGAGTTGTACGCCAAAACATCTGGGGATCCACAGGTTGAGAACCACTGATCTACATGATCAGGTTGCTTATTTTTAATTCAGTGGGATTTACAGCCTAACTGCAGATTGTAGTTTAACTGTAAAAAAAAACAGATGTGCGAAGTGGCAGACATCTGTTTTGATTTCATTTCAAAACTTTGATCTACTCCACCAACCTCCTGTTTTGTTTTGGGAAGATTCGAGCGGGGGGGGGGGGGGGGTTTGGATTAGTAATTCAAAATCCGGAGTTTCATTATAGTTTCAGTAATATTCAGTCTACTAGCTACAATGTGGGGCTCATTTCTCCATCATTTTAATGGCTGTTGTGATTAAACTTACCACATTATAGGGCACTGTTAACTTGCCAAGTTTCAAAACATTTCACTCATCCACTGATTTTTTAAAAGTATTTATTTATTTATCACATTTATATACCGCCTTTTTCAGCCCGGAAGCAACTCAGGACGGTTCACTGTCGGCAACAATTCAATACCTCCACAATTATAAATAAAATTGAAACCAAATATAAATACAATTAAAACATTTAGCATATAATATAAAACCATACAAACCATAAAAAAACATAATCAACAGCATCTCCTTACTAAAATTGTTATCCGGTTGCATTGTCAAGTCATTCCGTAATTTCATCTTTACCTGATTATTTTACAAATAAAATTTCTTTTTAAAACAAAACCAAAAAAGGTATCCTTTTGTATTTCTCCACAGTGGCAGAAAATTAGTTGTGCATTATTCCTGCCAAGTTTCAGAACATTTTGGTCATCCACTGTTTTTAGAAGATTAAAATAAAATGAAAACACTTTAAATGCCCTTTAAAACTCAGCCCCACACCCACCCACACCTCCCTAGCAGAATTTGGAAAATAAAAGTTGAATAATTTTAACAGAGGAAAATAGATATTCTGGGTGTCAATGAAGGGACACAAAGAAAAAGAATTCTCAAAAGATAAGGTAGAGCATTGCTCCTATAAGTTTTAAGAAACAGGAACAGGCAGAAATCAAACAGGGGAGGTATTTATAGACCAGCTTTGCAGAAAGCTGTGCGATCGGCTTTCTTCTGATTGGCCAACAAAGAAAAAAATCTGTGCAGCTGCCCTTTTTAATCATGTCAACCAGAACACCTCTCCCTCCCCCTCTGAGGTGAACGGAGTAAAATGTTACAACAAATCTTTTCCAAATATATCCAAAAGATTCGGGGGCTTGTGTTTCGATTCATAAATGCTTAGGAAGCGCCCTTCCTGCTTTGTATTTTGACAATTCATATCTCCGAAATCTGAAATGATTTCTGGAATTTTGCACACCTCTACAATGTACCTGTTGGTTGGGTGTTGATCTGAACAACCGGGTAATGCTGGACCCTGACGCTGCGGATGAAATGTTGTGGTCTGACTGCACGTTCAAAACGCCGCCGTCTTCTAATGACAGCTTTTGGTTTATAGATCGGATACTTCACAGACACAATTTTCTTCTTGCATTTCTTTGGTCCTTCTTGTTTATAGGTGTATTGTTGGAGATTCCCACCTACGTTGACAAAAAGGAACCACAGTAGCCTCATGTCTTTTCCATCTGCAGTATTTACTGTCATAACATTTGGGATGTCTCTTTTTAGGGCGGTTTTATTCAAATTTGATACAGCAAAGACAATTTACTCAGATTTATCTTTTTTGGAGCATAGGTTAGGGAATGAATATGTATTTAAGAATCCTTTCATTATACAAATATTTTTGTTCCATACATTTATTCTAAAAGCTATTGATCAATTAGATTTTCCTGATTTTAAAAAAGACATATTTAAGATTTAACCTTATGCTCATTTCTCTGACATAGGGCAGAATACCATTTAGGTAGCACTTGCTGTGACTGCTAATGTGACATTTAAGACCAGATTTCATGTTCCCCTTGAAAACCAGTTTTTCCTCGGACACAGTTATGTGGATTTTGCTGGTTGAAGTTCGCATACATTACATTAATTGAATAACATTTTATCAATTATTTTAGATAAAGGAATTCAACACAAATCTATAGTATCATACAAAGCAAAAGCAGAGTTTCATTATGTTAGTTATCTACCTAAATGTAAACTTTACAGTATATTTATATATTCTTTAAAATATGCTTAAAAAAACAGCCAAACTATTTAAGTTTGATATATAGTATTGCTCCCAGTGCTTTAGTAAGTGCAAAAAGTATGAGCCCTACCTTTTTTAAAGAAATATACAGATTCAGGTCTGTTCCTATGTTTAGCTACAGAGAGTGCTCCTGTTATTCTTCCACTTAGTCCTCCAAATCCTTTTATGATTAGTTTGGGATAGCCAACATCCATTACATCGTTGGTGAAGCGCCAGTACTGAGAATCCTGAGAATTAAAATGGATAAAATTATAGCAAGCCATAAAAAGTAGCATTAAGACCTAATGCAGTTTAATGCATTCAAAGGTAAAATTCCTGAGATTAAGGGGCATGGGACAGGAAAACAAGAAGTGTGGAGCAAAGCAGTAACTAGTTTTCAACCAAACATGTGACTTGGCATTCAAAATGTGACACTCCCAAGCTGTTGCCAGGCTTGGTTAACTTCCAAAGTTTTGATTGTTTTGATTGGTTGTGGGGAGGTCTTTCAAAATATTCCTTGGCAACATATATTAAAGGAATGAAGCAGAAAACATGGTCAAAATGTTACCAAGAACACAAACATCTTAAATTAAGATTAAATCTTAAGGGGATTTGTTTCATTAGCATACATTTAATTTACTTATTTTTATTTCCTGTGTATTTATGAAGTACTTTGAAAGTAGTTGTTATACTCCAGGAACGTCAATTTTGTGGCTGCCACAAACTATGTTGAATTGGTTGAGACTCTAGGAGATATTAATTGACAAACTATGGGGAAATCTACAGGAGAATAAACTTTCATGTTTTTATGATAGAACCAATTGTGTTACATAGTATTTTCAAGGCCTATAGAAATATTCTTTTGTTGGGGGGGGGGTTCTATTAAAAGTTCCCAATCTTTAAAAAATCCTGCCCGTGATTTTTCTCTGATTTATGTTATTAATTTGTCTATTTCAGCTACATCTGACCATTTCAGAATTTTTTTTAAAGCTAGCAACCTTCTGGGATAAATTAAACAGAGACTAGTTTGTCCGAGGCCACCTGTTATGCTTTATGTCTGAATAGAATTCTGAAATTGAGTCTTTCCTGTCTAAATCCAAGGCTAGCATGGGGCACACAGCGGTATGAGAGCCTTAAATGCTCTAAGGTAATATCTATGATCTGTGACCATTGTCTATGCCAGCCCAGGTTGACAATTTGGAGGGCCATAGGTTCCTCATTCATAGAATCATAGAATCAAAGAGTTGGAAGAGACCTCATGGGCCATCCAGTCCAACCCCCTGCCAAGAAGCAGGAATATTGCATTGAAATCACCCCTGACAGATGGCCATCCAGCCTCATTGTTGCTTTACACCTAAATCATAATTGCTCTCAATTGGCTAAAGCTTAGAAAGCAGTGTTTCAGTGAAAGTGCACACTTAAAAGTCAACTATGCAAGACTAAGCAGATTTGATTGCCCTCTTATCAACTGAGCCAACAATGCAAACCATTGCCTGTAGCACAAGGCATCTCAGAGGCATCGTCCTCTGGGCCACTGCAAAAAAGTCTGATAAATCTACATTGCATCTTGCAACAACATGTCCTCTTCTGTCATCTTTAAATCTCTACATATAATAAACATTAACTGCCAGCATTTCAGAGGTCATTTCTGCTTTTAATGCTATTTAAAATTCCAGCTGAGGAATAGGAAATATTTAATATTAGGTGTGGTACAGTGCTCTGGTATTTCCTGGAAACGATTCCTGTTTTTCAAACTGTTTCCATATTAATTTGTAAGTCAGATGTTTTTACCAGGTGACTAACCCCTGTGGCAGGTTTTCTTTTTTACTTCATAAAATAAATAATGTGCACCAAAACCAGATTTTCACTTGGGCCAAAAAAAATGAAATTATACAAGATGCTTGCAATATAGAGACTGCAGTAATTTTTGGACAAATGACTTAGATTAGCCTTTTGATAAACTACCCAAGTTCCTGGTTAATGGCCAACATTTTAAATGCAAAGCATTTGGAGTATAGTCCGCCCTCTGTATCCAGGTACTCAATCATCCATGGCTTGAAAGTATTTTAAAAAATTCCAAGAACCAAAGCTTAGTTTTGCCATTTGATGTAAGGGGCACTATTTTGCTACACCTTTGCATATAATAGGACTTGAACATTCACGGATTTTGGTTTCCACAGGGAGCCCTGAAACAAAGTCCCAGCAGAAGTCAAAAGCCCACTGTATAACTAAGCAATGTTTGAATAAAAATAACAATACACAGCACCCATTGAGTTTTACAACAGGTAGGAGGGACAAAAAGATTAACATTAGAAAATTATATTTTCTAAATGTGTGCTACTCAGCACATGTACCATCTGAAAATAAATATTTTCCAATATGTAAAAGTGAATGTGAAAATTAAATTAGAGAACAGATTTAGTACATTGTTGGCAGAGGTATAGTATCAAAAATGAACATTGTTTTGCCATAGTATGTGACTTCCTTCATTTTCAAGTTTTGGGTTAACCATGGTATATTTTGTGACTGAACACTTGAAGGCAGGCATAATTTTAAAGTCTGGGTGCTGACAGCTTTCTTTGAGGAAATCCAATCATGGGAAGTCTGACACTGGGTGACAGACCTCTTTGCTTCTCTTTGCTTCTGAACTGCCACCCCCCTCAAAATGTGAAATTGTGCAAAATGTCCTTAAAATTTTGAAAATATTGCATCCAGTCTAGCTCCTAACAAAAGGGTACTAACTCAATCCAGAATTACAACTATATATTTTGCCAGTTTATTTAAATTTTCGTAGTTATGCGTTCATAGGAGTGCAATAAGCAATCTGCCTACAATCACAGAAATTAGTTACAACACCAGATACAATTTGAGAAAATACAGCTAAGGGCAAGGGAGTAAAAAAAAAAGTAGATGGATGACAAGATTGGAACTAGAAAGAATCTAGTTCCAGAATTTATAGATCTAAAGAATGTTGGAGGAATTTGCTGCAACCAGATAACCGTTAAATGCTAGTTTTGCCTGCCTTAAACTGTTTAGTTTTTACTGCCAAATATTTGCCATATTTTGCTTTCCGATGGTTTTATGATTGACTTTGAATGCAATTTTCCTGCTTCTTGGGAGACCACAAGGTCTCCTCCAACTCTATGATTGTGTGACAATTAAAATTAGACATAAAGATCTTAGTACTATATGGCATGCCTGGGCCCCAAATATGAATATAAAAACAAAAGTGTTTGCACTTAGAAAACTAGCATGTTTGGGGGGAATATTAAGTAATGCACCTTTGTCTAATTTGCCAGCTGATAAACAGTACAGAAAGATTTCTCACAGTGTTTAGGCCATTTGGTGCAAAATTCCTGATTTATCTGCTACTGCCTTTCCAACATAGCATTGCTGGATATTTTGGATAGCACCTCTGAGAATTCACCATGCTAGATGTAGTCTCTAAAACATCTAAATAGCACCACACTGTAAAAAACTGCTATATTGGAAATGACATAGTCATCTATTAATGTCTCAGTGTGGTAGCTCCCATACTGTGGAAGACGCACCTTGAAAAAAAAGGTTTTACCATCACAGTTACATCTAGAGAAGACCGTGTCGATGGGGGAGGGGACACCCCAAACTTCAGTAATTCTACGAGGAGAAGGTGTTGGTGGGGTTGTTCCATTCAGGAGCCAGTAGTAATGACCTGGAAAAATAAGGACAAAAGTATGGACACAGAAGAATATAATAATTGTAAATCTCTCTGCTGTATTCATTCTCAATATAAGAAGAGATAAGGAAGACCTATTTAAAGGATGGGGATAAACTGCATGAATAGTGGGTTGTTGTAGGTTTTTCCGGGCTATATGGCCATGTTCTGGAGGCAATTTTTCTCCTGACGTTTCACCTGCATCTATGGCAAGCATCCTCAGAGGTAATGAGGTCTGTTGGAACTAGGAAAAATGGTTTATATATCTGTGGAATGACCACAGTACTTTTGTTTGCTGGGGTTAGCTGTGAATGTTTCAGCTGATCACCTTGATTTGCATTCAATGGCTTGGTAGCGGCTGGGGGGAATATTTTGTTAAGGGTGATTTTATGTGCCTGTTTGTTTCCCCTCTGTTGTTTTTCTGCTGTAATTTTTGAGTTTTTTAATATTGGTAGCCAGATTTTGTTCATTTTCATGGTTTCTTCCTTTCTGTTGAAATTATCCACATGATTGTGGATTTCAATGGCTTCTCTGCGTAGTCTGACATGGTGGTTGTTGGTGTGGTCCAGCATTTCTGTGTTCTCAAATAATATGCTGTGTCCAGGCTGGTTCATCAGGTGCTCTGCTATGGCTGACTTCTCTGGTTGATGGTCCTAGTTCCAACAGACCTCATTACCTCTGAGGATGCTTGCCATAGATGCAGGCGAAACGTCAGGAGAAATGCCTCCAGAACATGGCCATATAGCCCGAAAAAACCTACAACAACCCATGGATTCCAGCCATGAAAGCCTTCGACAATGCATGAATAGTTCTATCATAGAGAAGGAAATACTCAGGACACCCAGAATAACATCAGACTAATACTGTTTGTCCCAACATTTGACACCAGATGACGTAATGCTACGGAATCATAGTAATTGTAACTTTGTGAGATGCTGATGCTTCACCAAACTAGAACATCCATGATTCCATAGCACCGATACATGACAGTTAAAAAATTGTCAAACTGTCTTAATTCTACAATGTAGATGTACCATACTCTTCCTAATGGTAGAGCCAGCTCTGTTTCTGCTACCCAAAATATCATTGTGGCAGCCTAGTAGGAGAGTCCTGTACAGATGCAGACTTTCTTGAATGCAAATCCACCTTAACATTACAATACAGTTTCAACTGGATGTATTGTTTGAGGTGGATCTGTGAGCTATAGGTTACTATGTGTGACAGCTTGCATCAAGTTCAGCTATTACATTCCTAACAATATAGAGCCAATGTCTTTGTCATCATCTCCAAAAGTCTTGAGACTACTAACTTACCTCTGAAAACAGCTAATGATCCATTTCGTAAAGGCACAATTCCATCTGCTGCCTTCCGGTTACACAAGTTCATCTCATCAGGTATATCTGGTGCAAAATAATTACCCATATTATCTTTTTTGTTTAAAAAAATAGTTTTAGATATCAAAGTAGGCCCAATATAAGCCTGGTGTCAACCTGATAGCAGGGCAAATCTAATGGAAATTCTTGAGGTTGGAGTGATTAAGAATATCGACCAAATGTGGTTGAGTTGCAACTCTCGAGATTTCTCAGCACTAGTTCAGTGGGTTAAAGCTGTTCAGATGGATGCTCTCCCCTCTGACTAGTTTCTCATAGTTTCATAAAAATCATTGGCCAGAACAAATGCTCGAACCATTGAGAGAGTATATTCCTATTGAAATTATTCCCTCAAAAAATCCAGTGTGAGGGTTCCTTTGGGATATTAGGATTTTAAAAAGCCTAACTAGGTTCAAACGGCTGCAGTATTCAAAGGGAAAAGGTACATTGTTTCCGCCACAGCAGCCATATTCCACATACACACACAGTTAAGGAGCTGAAAAGAAGAAGATAACAAAACAGTTCGAGAAGGTTACTTTTGGAGGGTGGCTCAAAAAAGGATGATGTTCTTAAGCCCTGGAAATCCTCAAGTTTGGGCAGAAATTGGGTCATAATTCTAATGGGAAGCAACACATTTGCATGCTGATTTAAGCACTGTATCGGATGGTCCCATACTCTCCCATCAGCTTCTCAGCTTCTCTTACCTCTGATCAGTCATTGAAGATTAAAGACAGGGGGAAATGTAAATTGAAAATATAAATAATAAATTTTATAGTAAAGAAAAGAAAAGAAAACAGTTCGAGAAGGTTACTTTTGGAGGGAGGCTCAGAAATCTGTGGCTCAAAAAAGGATGGTGTTCTTAAGCCCTGGAAATCATCAAGTCTGGGCAGAAATTGAGTCATAATTCTAATGGGAAGCAACACATTTCCATGCTGATTTAAGCACTTTATCAGATGGTCCCATACTCTCCTATGCGCTTTTCAGCTGCTCTTACCTCTGATCAGTGATTGAAGATTAAAGACATTTCTTTTCTTTACTATGAAATTTATTATTTATATTTTCAATTTACATTTTCCCCTAGTTTTTTTCTATCAAGGATTATGGTGGGCTTTTCTATCAAAGACTAGGAACCACAAAGTTGAAATAGACATTTTGCATTTCTTTGTCCCTTGTTCTCTCTACTCCTTGGGCTGCATGCATAATTTTGCTTATAAAAACTAATCATTTGCACATTGCAAGGCTGTATATACCTTTGCTTGCATCCCTGTGAGTAAGAACCATAGAGTGGATTTTTGGTGTAATCATACACGATTGCTTGAAAATGCATAAATAAACCAGATAACGCAATTTGATTTGCTGACTAGATTACAAATGATTCCATGCTGTTATAAGAATAACAATTTGAAATTTCATCCTCCTGGTTTGATGCAGAGAACAGGGTGTCAGAGCCTCTGAAAAACTATACATCTACCAGGCTTGTGAAAAGATAGTAGCAGACAGCTAGATGACAAGAAGAAGCAACATCAGTAGCCATGGTTCCTTTCCCCCCTTCTGTCAGTGTGAGGGAACTGACCTATGTCAACTTCAAATTAATCATTGCTTTTTGAGGGACTATTCAAAATTAAGAAGGCTGAGAAATGCCACCTTTCCTTTGTCTTCCTCCTTCCAATATTAGAGCTTCAATACTGGAGACATTTTCACCAAACGTGTTTCTGTAGGGACTGGCGAAAGGATCCCAAGGTTGGATGACATACTCTGAGATTGGACACCTCTCTGCTTTCTTAGAATCATAGAGTTGGAAGACACCTCATGGGCCATCCAGTCCAACTCCCTGCCAAGAAGCAGGAAAATCGCATTCAAAGCACCCCCGACAAATGATTGCATGGGTATATTTGATATGACCTGTCTCATACATCCCAGATACCTTCACATTGCCCATAAAAGTATTATTTGCTATTAATATTAATATGAATTGAAAGACTGCCAACCCCCATTTCCCTCCAAAATTCTAGAAAAATATGATAAAGTTTTGTCATTTCTCACTCACACATTTCGTATTTTTACATCTTCAGCTGTAGGAGATACATAACTTAACCAATGATTTAACACAGATGCCTTTGTAACAAGAATGGGCAATTGATTTTGGATTCAGACTGGTTTTCATATTTAGGAAAGTCTGCTCATTTGCACAAGGCCATCTGTAACGAAATAGCTGATTATAATGTATGTTTTAAATGTGTTTATTGATGTTGGGATTAGGGCTGTCCAAACACGGAAAAATTTGTTTCTAAACTCGATTCGTTTTTAGGGGTTTTTTGCGTTTCGTTATTTAAAAGAATTCCGAAATTTTCCTTTAAAAAAGTCCGATATTTACGAAATTTCGGAAATCATAAAACAATTACGAAACAATTACGAATTGATTACAAATCGCGCAATACGCTAAAAAAACTTCAGAAGCTTCCCTCTCCCTCTGTTGTTGACTGTTGGTGTGATAATTATATTTTTTTTCACTGAGAAAACAAACAGCAACCCTAAAACTTGCACCAGACATGCGGAAATAATAACGAAACATTTATGAATCAATAACGAATCAATAACGAAACAATTATGAAACAATTACGAAACGAATTGGAAACATTCGTTTCATTTTTTAGTTGCTCCTGAATGGTTCAATATCGCTTCGTTATAAAAAAAATAACGAATTTTTAACGAATTACAAAATTACGAAACGAAACCGCCCAGCCCTAGTTGGGATATGATAGGTTCAGGCCAGCTGATGTGTCGCCTGAGCTGAGCCATTGCCATAGTGATGGAGCTGGCTGTTAGAATGTATCCAAGTTAGAGAAGCCAAAGGAGCGGAGCTAACTGCCACCTGGCAGGAGCAGGCATTTTAAATAGTTTATTTTGGTTAGTGGACCAAAGTGGAAGTTGGGTTCTGGTGTGCGGAAAAACCGAACCCAGGGGTTTAGGTCTTCAGCTTGTGTGTTTGAAGGGTCAATTGAAAGTCAACTGTAGGAGACAGGCCATTAGCTGAGGAAGGAGTTGAAGAACAACGACAAGAGCAAACAGTAGAGATTTTAAGATTATGATTAGAGTAAAATGAATTGATGCAGAAAAAGAGGTTCAGTCAGCCTGAATTGCATCTGAGAAAGCTGAAAGAGAAGAGAGAATGGAGTTGGCTAGAATAGGGGCAGAGAGAGAGCAGAGACAGCATGAAAGAGAAATGTTTCAATTAAGGACACAAGAAAGTAGCACAAGCAGTGAAATGCCAAATAATTATAATGAATTCTCTGCCAAGTTAAAAAGGTTCTCTGGGTTTCAGAGAGATGATAGTGTTGTGGCTTTTCTTTCTCCCTTCGAAAGAATATGTACAGAACTGGAATTATCTGAAGAAAATAAAATATCTTACATAAAACCCCTGATTTCTGGTGAACTGAGCCAAGTCTATGCTGACATGAGGGTTGATGAGGTGGCAGACTATCAATTATTCAAAGAAAGAGTTAAAAATCAATTTTGCATAACACCAGAACAAAGCAGGAGGAATTTCAGAGAGATTAAAAGAAAGACAGGTGAAACGTACACACAATTGGGAGGCAGGCTAGACAATGCTCTAGAACGGTGGATCAATAGGAGCCAAGTTAAAACATTCAAGCAGCTGAAACAACTAATTGCCTTGGAGCAATTTTATAAATTGGTGCCAGTGCAGATGCGTTGGTATGTTAAAGACAAAAAGATTGATAATGTGGCTCAGGTGGCTTCAGTTCTGGATGAATTGGAAGCAGACTATGAAATGAGGAACATGGATGCGCCACATAAAAAGCCTAATAAAGAAAAGGCGAGAAACTTTGGGAACAAGAACGCTGCAAGAGGGGAGGTGCCATCTTTGACTTATGTAAGTAACAGTAACAGGAGAAACACAGCAGCACCGGCTTATGAGAAGAATAGTAATTACTATAGAAAAGAGATGCCGGGGTCAACCTCTGAAAGAATCCCTTGTTTCCATTGCCAAGAGCCTTGGCATATTAAATCTATATGCCCCAAGTTGAGCCCTGAGAAGAGGATGAATTTACCACAGAGAAATGTCAGGGCCACACAAAAGGCAGGAGATTCAAGAGAGGCAGTGGAAAGAAATGGTGATGAAGTAAAGGAACAAGAGGAGCCAGTTAGAATATTTAGAGTATGGAAGATAAAAGAGACTGTGGACTAAGATTATAGAGAACAGATAACTGTGAATAGTAACAAAGTTATAGGCTTAAGAGATACTGGAGCAGAAGTAACACTGATGCAAAGAAAATGGTGACATCAAATCAAATAGTTCCTAACAGGAGATATGTGCTGAAGGTAATATGCAGGCCAGCCTTTGAGACGCCCATAGCTGAGATTCCAGTGCAGAATAAAGAATATAAAGGAATATGGCAAATGGGAGTAGTCGAAGATTTGGGAGACCCAGTAATAATTGACAACAATTTGGCGGAAGAAAGTGAAAAGGTGAATGCTGTTACTGAGAGTCAGGAGCCAGGAAGAAACAGAGGTGATCCTGATACAGAGGTGCCTGGATGTGCAGTGAAAGAAAATAGTAACTCTGCAACACTGCATCTTACTGACTCAAATGTAGTTGCCTTTGCCAGAGAGCAAGGAGATGATATTTCTTTAAGAGAATTTTGGAGACTGATAGAGACAGAGAATAGAGAAACAGCAATAGAGAAAACTACAAAACCCAAAACCTGCAACAAGAGATACTGGGAGGAAAGCATATCTACAAAGCCGGTTGGTGATAAAGAAGCCCAAAGGAAGATGAAACAAAAAGCTGTTGGATGCAGTCCTTTTAAACTTTTATTTGAGAAGAAAGTGAAAAAGACTAATGAGCATATTAAAGACTATTTCGGAGGGTAGAGAGGAGATCAATGAAAGAGAAGTTGCAGATTATGTTAGAAGACAAAGAAGATACACGGACATTGCTCAGAATGCTGTTTCCAAGAGATAATGATCATTGGATTTGCCACAGTGTGTGGTCATTCTAGCGGCCCATGTGATGAGGTTGTAAGTGCTTCAGGACAGTTGAATCGATTAAACTTTTTATAAAACATATTACAATGATGATGAAATAGAAGCATGCACATTTTCACCATAAATTAGTGGTGAAAATTAGTGGTACAGCATAAAAAGTAGGGAGTTGATCATAACTCATTCTATTTATTACCGGCAGTACAACTCCCTTTGTTCTCTCTTTGTCTCTTTGCTCCCTCTCAGGGTCCTATCTCCCCACCACCACCACCCCCAACTTTATCCTCCCCCCCCCCTCTATGCATCTTGAACCTTCTGCCTAGTTACTGGATTTTTCTATCTTTGTTCTTAAAGCACTGAAGAAAGATGCTGGTACCATAAGGTGATTTATTCTGGCTCGCTCACTACTTCCAGTGAAAGAAGATAGAAATCCAGTAATTATATCCTGGGATCTGTGGTGCTAACTAAGCAATGCTATGCCCTTCTGTAGTGATGTAGGCTGCTTGCCTTCTATCTCATGCAGCAGTGACAACAGCAATAACAACCAGGATAATGTGCAATAATTCTGTTATCTAAATCTCAAAGAGATTCATTAAACAGACAAATTAACAAGAAAAGTAAACAGCAAATTAAGCTAGGCTATTCAGTACAGCAAAAAGAAATTAAAGGGCCTACCAAAATAGAACTCACATGACGGTGCACCCCCACAGCAGTTCCACAATCTGTTACTACCATGCAATGAAGAGACAAGTGATCATTAGATTTCATTGACAGCCCACAGTCCTGCCCCAAAGGATGGTTCCAAATTACATCATCTTGGTATCTTCCTTATGCAGACATGTTAGAGACTTACTGACTGTTTATTTTCCTCTTATTTTTGTCATCCAGGTAGATCTGAAGCTCTTTTGGAAAATGCCCTTCAAGAACTATATCATACAAATTCATCCAAACCAACCTCATCTGTTTTGTTATTTGGCATTAGGCTGAATCAGGCTGAATCAGTTGCACTGTACTATTTTTAGTACAGGCCTGATCAATATTACTATCAGCTGCAATTATAGCATCTACAAGCATCTATTTATGTCAAATATCCCAAAATGTTCTACTGACATTTTATAGAATCCTGTATAAATCTAGAATCCTAAAAATTCCACGCAAAGAGTATTGCCAGACCAGTCATCCTAGTACTGGACACCCCACAGGACCATTCTCTGGGCATACATCTACTTTAGACATAGAGTTTGTAAGCGTGAGTAAGAACTCTTCACAGGCCCGTAGCCAGGATTTCGTTTCCGGGGGGGGGGGGGGCGCTTCCTGTTTTGATGTTCCCTCTTTGCTCTCTCTCTCTGAATTTTTTCAGGGGGGGGTTCGGGGGGGGGGCTGAGTTGGGGGGGGCTGAGTCTGAGTGAAAGAGGGTCTAGCCTAGCAAACCTTTTGTATCATTACCCAATACCCCCATGCATATGGGATATATTGAGTATGGTGATCAGATCATGATATGAATAAACATAACAGTTTAAATAATGCACCAGTAAGGCCTTTTGCGAACCACCATGAGAATTTCGGGGGGGGGGGGGGGCTGAAGCCCCCTGAGCCCCCCCCCCCCCTGGCTACATGCCTGACTCTTCAGCTGATGTGTATGGCTCAAATCAGTAGTGAACAAGAGTATATGACTAGGACAGTGGAGACCAAGTTTCAACCTCCCACCTTCATCCATGTAGCTCATTGACTCCTTAATAAACAAACTCAGCCTTCTTCCTTAGGCTCTTCACTTTGTGTGTGACAAACTGCATAGAAACATCCTTCTACCTAGCTAAAGGAATATTCATCCAGCAGTCTGCAACAGGGCCACCATTTAAGGTTTCATGACAGAATAGCTGTACTCTGAGCTGTAGTCAAGGGTGAAAGGGGGAAGTATCTGATTATCTCATCTCATCTCATCTTTAATTACTTATCAATCGCCCTCCATTCGAGATGCTCCAGGCGATTTACACTGCAGAAATTATACAGGATAAAACACATACATACAAATATTAAAATTAACATGCGTCAAATGCTCCAGTAAAAAGCCAGGTCTTAAGCGCCAGAACTAAACGCCCCAAGTCGCGCAAGGCTCTCAAATAGGGAGGCAAGGAATTCCACAAGGCAGGGGCAGAAATAGAGAAGGCCCTGCATCTGGTGCACTTCCCTAGGACCCGATATATAGAGCAAATCGCGTTGGGATGGTCGTGGTGACCTCCGATGATGGGAGAAGGAGAGACGGTCTCTAAGATACAATGGACCCTGGCCATATAAAGTTTTAAAGGTCAGGACCAACATCTTATACAAACCACGATACTCAATTGGGAGCCAGTGTAGATGCCGCAGCACTGGTGTTATATGGCATTTCATGGGCGTTTTTGTGAGTAATCTGGCTGCAGCATTCTGGACAATACGGAGCTTTCGGGTCGTAGAAATAGGAAGGCCAACATACAAGGCGTTACAATAGTCCAGCCTAGATGTGACCGTGGCATGGATGACTGTTGCCAGAGCCTCATCCAACAGGTAAGGTGTCAGTTGCCTCACTTGTCATAGATGGAAAAAGGCCTGTTTGCTGGCAGCAGCTCCTGAGAAATAAAAAAGCATCTTTCCTCCCATCCTCTTGCAATTACCACCTTATTCCCCTGTCAACCATGTAAACGCTAAACATCACCATGCAATTATTGGATCTCCAGAGTTTTTTTTATAGTTCCACAATATCATTAGCCTTGCTAGATCGTCTGCTGGAAGTTTTCAATCACACATTCTAGGAATGCAAATGGTCGACCTCTGCTGGACACCAAACTGCACTCACAGGCATACTAATATACACCCAACATTTCTTCCAGGTACATAATAATAATAATAATAATAATAATAATAATAATAATCCACATGTGGGGTTTTTTCCCCCTCAAATCAATTGATATTGGGATCTTATGCCATTGCAAATTATCCCAAGATCAAATTATCCCATATCAACATAGATGAAGAAAATACCTTTGTAAAGTAGAGGTCTGACAATCCTTTCTGGTCGAAAGTATTGCATGGTTCTGTTGGTAATTCTGTCTGGAAGTCTAGTTGTAGTAATTGTAGAGTATGTTGTAGTTGGATAATAAGTCACCTGTCTTCTTGTTGTTGGTATACGTTCAGCAGGTGATGGGGACATTTGTCTTGTAGTCTGGTCTTCAGCAGAGGATGGGGTGTTGACAGGTTTTGATGTTATTGAGGAAATTGTAGTCTCTTCTTTTACTGTAGTATTTGTATTCTTTGTAGTTGGATTTTCCTTGGTCGGTTCTCTATCTGAAACAAGATCAATTTTTGTATTAGTTGTAATATTCTGTGTAGTCGTTTCTGGATGTTCTGTAGTATTGGATTGAGTTGTGGTGGTGGTTGTAGTTGTAGTAGTTACTATCCGTGTAATTTTAGTTATGACTTCTGGATTGTCATTTTTGTCACTGTCACCTGTGCTAGGACTTGATTCTGTTGTGGTAGTTGTAGTTGTTTTTGTGACTGTAGTGATGCTGTCTGGCCTGTCAATTTCATCAGAATTAGGGGAATCGCTCAGTGGTTTGGATTCTGTTGTGATGGTCGTGGTTGTTTCTGTAACTTTAGTTGGATTATCCTGTTCATCAGGATTTGGTGTACTCTGTGGTAAGTTTGTTACTGTTGTCTCTATTATTTTTGTAATATCTTTTGGCCTTTCACCATTCTCATCAGTATTGGGATTAGGCTCATCATTTGGTGGCTCAGTTTGTGTTATTTCTTCTGGGAGCTCTGGTTTTCCTGTTGAAGAAACATTTTCAGGAATACCAGTAGGGCTGAGTGGGTTGGACTCAGTTACAATTGTTTCTGTGATTGTAGTAGTCACTTCTGGACTGTTGTTTCTGTCATCAAGACTAGTGGTGGGTTTATCCTTTGTTGTTTCTGTTATTATTGTCTCTGTGACTGTAGTGATAATTTCTGGCCTCTGATTTATTTCTTTATCACCAACAGGGCTTGGTGTGCCATTCGCTGAATCAGTTTGGGTTATGATTGTCTCTGTAACTTCAGTAGTCTTCTCTGGTGTAATTTTATCATTCCCAGGAGTAGATAAATCACTCAAGGGGTCAGTTATGGTTATTTCTGTGATTGTAGTAGTTCCTTCAGGTCTGTCATTTTTGTCGTCACCATCAGGACTGGGTGTCACAACTTCTGGATAAGGATCTGTTATTATAATCTTTGAAACTGTAGTGGTTACTTCGGGTCTGTTATTTTTGTCATCACTAACAGGGCTTGGGGTGCTACTAGCCAAGCTGGTCTCTGTAATACTCTTTTCATTACTTTTGTCATCATTCGGAGGAGTAGGTGGGTCACTGGAGGAATCTGTAATTATTGTAAGTGGAATAGTTCTGTCTGGGTTGTCAGTTTTATCAACATCACTGGGATTAGTTGTATCACCTGGATCTGTCTGTGTTATGGTTGTCTCAGTGACTGTAGTAGTCCCTTCTGGTTTACCACTTTTGTCATCGACATCGGGATTGCTTGTATCTACTGGCTTTGCCTGTGTTGTGGTTGTCTGAGTGATCATAGTAGTCTCTTCTGGTTGATCACTTTTATCAACATTGCTGGGAGTATTTTTATCATTTGGCTCAGTCTGTGTTACTGTTGTCTCAGTGACTGTAGTAATGCCTTCTGGTTTGTCAGTTTTATCAACACCACTGGGAGTAGTTGTATCATTTGGATCAGTCTGTATTATAGTTGTCTCAGTGACTATAGTAGTCCCTTCTGGTTTATCAATTTTGTCATCAACATTGGGATTGCTTGTATCTWCTGGCTTTGCCTGTGTTGTGGTTGTKTCYGTGATRWTAYTAGTCTCTTCTGGTTGATCACTTTTATCAACAGTATTGGGACTAGTATCATTTGGATCAGACTGTGTTATAGTTGTCTCAGTAACTGTAGTACTCCCTTCTGGTTTATCTGTTTTATCAACACTGCTGGGAGTAGTTGTATCATTTGGATCAGTCTGTGTTACTGTTGTCTCAGTGACTGTAGTAGTGCCCTCGGCTTCATTATTTTTATCAACATTGTTGGAACTAGTTGTATCATTTGGATCAGTCTGTGTTATGGTTGTCTCAGTGACTGTAGTAGTCTCTTCCTGTTTATCACTTTTATCAACACTGCTGGGAGTAGTTTTATCATTTGGATCAGTCTGTGTTACTGTTGTCTCAGTGACTGTAGTAGTCTCTTCTGGTTTGTCACTTTTGTCATTATCATCAGGATTGGTTGTACCACCTGGATTTGTTTGTATTGTTCTTGTTTTGGTGACTGTGGTAGTTTCTTCTGGTTTGTCACTTTTATCCACACTATTAGGGTTGGCTGTATCAGTTAGATCACTCTGTGTTATCAGTGTCTCAGAGACTGGAGTAGTTTTGTCTAGTTTGTCACTTCTATCAACATGATCGGGACTGGCTATATCACCTGGATTAGTCTGCATTATTGTTGTCTCAGTGACTGGAACAGTCCTGTCTGGGTTGCTGCTTTTATCAAAATTGCTGGGACTAGTTGTATCACCTGGAATTGTTTGTGTCCCTGCTGTTTCAGTGACTGTAGTCATTTCATCTGGCTTGTCTCTTTTATTAGCTTTGTTAGAATTGGTTGTATCACCTGGATCACTATGTGATAGCGGATTCTCAGAGACTAGCATACCTCTGTCTGGGTTGTCACTTTTATCACTGGGACTGCCTGTATTGCCAGTATCAGTCTGTGTTGTTATTGTCTCAGTGCTTGCAAGAGTCACTTCTCCTTTGTCAGGTTTATCAACACGAACAGGATTTGTTGAGTCACTTGAATCCCTCTGTGTTGTTGTTGTCTCAGTGACTGTAGTAGTGTCTTCAGATCTGTCATTTTTATCAATGCCACTAGGACTCATTGAGCCAGCTGGGTCACTCTGTGTTGTTGTCTCAGTGACTGATGTAGTTCCCTCTGGCCTGTCGCTTTTGAAAACTTCACTTTGACTGGTTGGATTGCCTGGACGAGTCTGTGTAATTGGTGTTTCACTGATTGACGTAGTCCTGTCTGGTCTATCATCTTTATCAATACCACCAGGGCTAGTTGTATCCCCTGGATCAGTCTGTGATATTGATGTCCCAGTGATTGAAGTAATCCCTTCATGACTGTCACTTTTATAAACACCAGAGAGACTGCTTGTATCACCTGAATTGGACTGTGTTGTTGTCTCTCCAAGTGAAGTAGTCCTTTCTGGGTTGTCACCTGGATTTGTCTGTGTTCCTGCTGTTTCTAGTTTGCCAACATCACTTATATTTGTTGTTTCACTTGAAATGACTGGTTGTGTCCTTAATGCATCTGGAACTGTAGTGGTCTCTTCTGAGCTCCCTTTTTGAATATGGTTATTAGAACTTGGGGTGCCACTTGTATGAGTTATTGATATCTCTGTTTTTGTAGTACTTCTTTCTGTTCTGACATGTCTATGATCTTCAGTTTGAGGTGTGTCTGTGAACAAAGTTGAGTATATATCTACATTAGTAGTCCTTTCCTTACTGTCTGTTGCTACAGAGTCTTTATTTGCAGTAGCTGTAACACTTTCATTTGTTGTTTCACTTTTTCCTACTGTTGTTACAGCCTGGTTGTCTGCATTATTTCTGTCTTCAACAGCTTGTGGTGTTGCAGTAGGGGTATCTCTTTTAGATATTGTCATTGTATCTTTAGCTGGACTGATTGTGGTTTTCTGAACAGCAGAACCTGTGTTTGCCCTAATACTAGTCACAGTAGACAATGTCAGTTGTTTATTGATATTAGAAGCAGTGCTAGATGGTGAGTTTAATGATTTAGGGGTAGCAGATCTCAATGATGTGGTCACTTTCTCAGGTTGGGGTGTGGGGGTCTGTCTAACATGGTTTTCAAAAGTTGCCACAATTCCTTTTTTACCTTGAGTTGTATAATCTGTGTCAAGTTGCTTAGTAGTTGAGGATGGCAGCCTTGTTGTGGTCTTCATAGTAGTGGGCACCTCTGTTGTGGCCATTGTGGTAGAAGGCTGCTTGGTAGTAGCCGTTGTAGTAGGGGGAAGATTAGTCGTAGTTGTAGTAGTAGGTGCCAGCCGTGTTGTGGCCATTGTAGTAGTTGGCTGCTTCATTGTAATTGTTGTAGTAGCTGGTATGTTAGATGTGGATGTTGTAAGAGCTGGAATTTTGGTTGTGGTAGTAGTAGTAGTAGGTGGCAGTTTGGTTGTGGTTCTAGTAGTTGTAGATGGAACCTCAGTTGTGGTTCTAGTAGTTGTAGATGATACCTCAGTTGTGGTTGTAGTAGTAGATGGCACCCTGGTTGTAGTTGCGGTGGAAGGCTGCCTTGTTGTTGTCATAGCTGTAGTAGTTGTGGCACCTGCTGTTGTCAGTGCATTCCCAACCCCACTGCCATCTTCTTCTGAGATCACTTTTATGGATTTTGATGATTTTAATTTTGTTTTTGATTCACGAGCTAAAAGAAGAAAAAAATGTCAAATATATAATGTTATTTGAGTATTACCATCAAAATTTTTCTTTTGTATCTTTGAATTTTTTCAGCATAGTTGTCTCACACCCTGGATTTTAAGTGGCAATTTGGAAAGCCACAAGAAACATTACAGTTTTTTCTATGCCTATTTCTGGAAAGCTGTACTGCTCAAAGTAATACAGTATTTAACATATAACCAACTTACTGCTTGTGACAAAGCTATCTCTGTAGTTTGCTGTACGGGAGATTAATTTAACCAGATTTTCCATATTATAATTTTTCTTATTGTGTGACATTCTTTGGTTATCTCCTCAATACAGAGATGATTTGAAAATCTAACCCCAGAACAGTCAGATGGGTTTTAATTCCCTTTGGAGCGGTGATCTACAATATCTGCAGTTAGGTCTTTTGCTGCTGATTTGTGTCAGAGCATGTGCTCTTGACATGTCTATCCAAAATTCTGGATAACACTAGAATATATTTTATTGAAAAATGCCTTAGATCCTATTTCAGGGAAAATGACAAGATTTTTGTTGTGTGCTTTCAGGTTGTTTCTGATCTATGGCACTCCTAAAGTGAAACTCTCATCGTGTTTTCTTGGCAAGATTTGTTCTTGAGGGTTTGCCTTAGAATCATAGAATCATAGAGTTGGAAGAGACCTCATAGGTCATCCAGTCCAACCCCCTGCCAAGAAGCAGGAATATTGCATTCAAATCACCCCTGACAGATGGCCATCCAGCCTCTGTTTAAAAGCTTCCAAAGAAGGAGCCTCCGGGGCGGAGAGTTCCACTGCTGAACGGCTCTCACAGTCAGGAAGTTCTTCCTCATGTTCAGATGGAATCTCCTCTCTTGTAGTTTGAAGCCATTGTTCCGCGTCCTAGTCTCCAGGGCAGCAGAAAACAAGTTTGCTCCCTCCTCCCTGTGGCTTCCTCTCACATATTTATACATGGCTATCAAATCTCCTCTCAGCCTACTCTTCTTCACGCTGAACATGCCCAGCTCCTTAAGCCGCTCCTCATAGGGCTTGTTCTCCAGACACTTGATCATTTTAGTCACCCTCCTCTAGACACAATCCAGCTTGTCAATATCTCTCTTGAATTGTGGTGCCCAGAATTGGACCCAATATTCCAGGTATGGTCTAACCAAGGCGGAATAGAGGGGTAGCATTACTTCCCTAGATCTAGACTCATCTTTACCTTGTTGTCCATGAGGACTCCAAGATCTTTTTCACACGTACTGCTCTCGAGCCAGGTATTGTCCCCCATTCTCTATCTTTGCATCTTTATCTGAGGCTGAGAGAGTATGACTTGCCTAAAATCACCTAGTGGGTTTTCATGGCTGAGTAGAAATTCGAACTCTGCTCCCTAGAATCATTATCTAACATGCAATTCATTACACTGTACAGTCTCTCAACATATACATAGGAATGGAACAATGGACGTCGAATTTGGATCACGCTTGGATGATGAGGCGATCGGGGGTGGGTTTTGTGATAACTGTGTATTGATGTTTGTTTATTAGCTAGTAATGGAACTGTGTAATTTAACTGTTATGGTATATTAATTATTGCTGTTTTTATTGTCGTTGTTGTTTGCTGTCTGGAAACCGCTGTGAGTCGCCCTCGGGCTTGAGATACAGCGGTATACAAGAATAGTAGTAAATATATCTCTGTGTGCAAGTGTGTCATACACACACATTATATGACCCTTTTAGAGACTGTTGGATTGCAGCTCCTATCAGTCCTTGCCAGCATAGCTAATGGTGAGGAATGCTAGGAGTTGTAGCTCAGAAACATCTATTTATTTATTTATTTATTTATTTCGGGCATTTTTTCCCTGCCCTTCTCAGCCCCCTTGTGGGACTCGGGCGGCTTCCAGCCAGCACATATTCAATGCATACAATTAAACAGAGTAAAATACACAACAACAGTAAATATAAATAATTAAAACATTAAGTTAATACAATAAAATCTAATAGAAAAGAAGCCAGCCTGGTGGCCATCGTTTAACCGAGTTCTGTAATTAGTGAATCCATTCAGCTTATCATAATCCATTCCAAAGAACTCCTTGATTCCAACTCTATTATAGGATGAATGTTCATGGCCTACATCCAATTTTCTCAGATGCTTGAAATATTACCCACATTTGTGTATATTGAGGACAGAACAGTAGATAGTCAGTTCAAAGTAAAATTAAATGCAATGACAATTAGAGTATTATATTTGATCATAGAAAAAGTCCTGTTGCTAATAACACAAATATCCTTGTACTAGGTAATTCGGTTACTACTGGCAATATGATAAAACTCTATTATCTTAATGTACACCTCTGGTGTTTGACTGGAATCTCCTAATGTGTTATGTCTGCATTCTGGACCAGACAAACAGGCTAGTCTCTACACATGCTCCTTTTTCTGTATTGCAAAGCATACCTTTCCTTTGCTCTTCTTCTTCCTCTTCTAACTCCTCAGCATTTTTACCATTTTTCTTCTTGCGTTTATCACCAGTATTTCTTACTGAAGCCATAGTTCTCCGAATTTTTGAAGAAGAAGAAGATGACATTGATGACTGCTCAGAATGTTCTACAGTCAAACACACAAAGTTAGCAGAAAGGAAAATCTATACAGATTATAGCTCTAGACCATTTTCTCTTTTCAAAAAGTGGGCAAACACCTCATATCATTATCATTTTGAACTTAAAATGCCTGAAGTGTCACTTTGAACCTTGGCTCTGAAAAAATTACCTGGTCTGATCCTGAAAAAAAAGTGTGTTTATATAAATTTAGACAAGTAAAGAGAACCTTGGGGCCATGTGTTTGTTAAACAGCAGTTGTTTTCCTACTGTTTCTACATGGAAATGCTTTTTTATTAAAATGGAAGCCGAGATCAGACATAATTACTACATGTCATGGTGCTGTTCTAGTCAAGGCAGTGCAGTAGTGATGTGTGATAGAGTGGCTTCATCAGTAATGTGATAAAAAAGAGTTGCAATCAGGGTTCTATAGTATTGATAGGGTAGTGAATTTGTCTGAATGGAAAAGAAGCTTTCTAAAGTGCTGGATAATCTTTTTAAAGTCCAAACTAAAACACAAAACAGATTAATTGCCCCACTGCCATCAAAGCCTGCCTTCACTGGCAGAAAAGAGCATCTGTCAGAGGATACATGTTAAGAGCACTTGTTGTCACTTATTTCTCTTAGGATGGTTGATTATTGTGAGAGATACTCTGGACCTCATCACATTGATGAGGTCCTATGGGGTGATTTGCCAGCCTCTCTGGTGAAATGGCAGGGCAATGCGGCAATCCTGGCACCCTACTCCACCTCATTGGCTGTGATGCTTCCCCATCACATGTGGGAAAACATAGCCACATGGCTTCCCCCAACTCTAGCCTATGGTTTTCAATGAAACCAGAGAAGCTTCCCATGTTCTGGGCACAGCGTCGTAGGATGCTTGTGACCCAGTTGAGCCATGGAGACCTGCCAGAAGTGGGTCTATGTTGTCTGATGGGAAGGTGGGGCTCCGTGGCTCAACTGGGGCGAAAGCGTTCTATGACCCGTGTGATGAAGTTGTTGGTCTCAATTGTATTTCACAGTAAATGAATATTTTACTTTCTTTCCTAGAAGTTTTTTGTTCTAAAACCCTGTCTTTTCTAGATGGAAAGTAATTTCAATTACAATGAAGGGAAGCTCATTGGGCATACCCAAATGCTTGGGTACTATATATATATATATAATCCTCAGCATATAAAAATATATTCATACACATCATTCCATTTTCCATTGTAAATCTCTAAGGCCCCCCCCCCCCCCCCCCAATTCACTAAAGTCTAAACTCAAATTTAATCCCTAAGTTAATTTTTCAAGATAGGAATAACATACCAAAATGAATTACTTGTATTATAAATCAATTTAAAACTGATAGATTTATTTTTTCCAAAAAATAGATGATGATGACAAGGAAACCACCATTATGTTTTAAACTGCATGGAATTTTAAAACAGTGCAGAGCAGAGAGTAAAAGAATTGTACCTTTTACACTGTGAAGGCCTTCAGAGAAATACACTACAAGTGAGATATTAGTTTGGTCAAGATCCAAAAAGATACTTTAATTAAGGCTATAGACAGTACATGGATTTATCAACATCACAATAAACACGTTTCGACACTACAAATAACTTCTTTCCCCTCCATATTTTTCAGTAATGCCATCTAGTCTTAAGGCTCATATAACTGAAAATAGTCAATTTATAAAATCTTAATTTTAAACACAATGCCCACAAACCCATATCAAGTTTTTCCTACCTTCCATAACTTCATGAGATACTTTCTTTTGTTTCTTTTTCTTCTTTAAAGGCTTTGGTTTAGGCTTTGGTTTAGGCTTGGGCTTGGGCTTGGGCTTAAGTTTTGGTGAACGTTTTGTTGTTGACTTTGTTTTGGGTGTTGTGGTTGGCGGTTTAGTTGTGGTGCTGGTTGGAAGAAGGGTGGTGGTTGTCTGTGGAGTCTTGGTTGTGATAGTTGTGGTTGTTGGTGCTTTCGTTGTAGCTGCAACCAAAGAAAAATCATAAGAATCATAGAATCCTAAAGTTGGAAGAGACCTCATGGGCCATCCAGTCCAACCCCCTGCCAAGAAGAAGGAATATTGTGTCAGAGTTCGGACGATGCCCAGCGGAAAGAATGCTAGATCAGCAGACACTGAGTTGAAAAATAAGGACTCTGCAGGCTTTGAGTTGCAAAAGAAACTAAGTTTACTAAGCACATACATCAGGCACATCTTACTACAGCGAGCTACAAATCAGGAACTAGTAAAAATGAAAGCCTCTTCACATCTTCTTATCTCCTCTTGCTGAGACTGGCTACTCCCTTCTGTTCCCAGCAAGAGCAAACCTTATCTTACTTTCTCAAGTTCACTTAATCACAGCCTCATAGTGTAAACATTCTGCACAGCATTTCTAATTCACAGTAGCATCCATATTTGCAATACATAGAAGCACATTTAAAACACATACATAACTAAATTAATCCTGACATATTGCATTCAAAACACCCCTGACAGATGGCCATCCAGCCTCTGTTCAAAAGCTTCCAAAGAAGGAGCCTCCACCACACTCCGGGGCAGAGTTCCACTGCTAAGACAGTTAAATCATAGAATCATAGAATCAAAGAGTTGGAAGAGACCTCATGGGCCATCCAGTCCAACCCCATGCCAAGAAGCAGGAATATTGCATTCAAATCATCCCTGACAGATAGCCATCCAGCCTCTGTTTAAAGGCTTCCAAAGAAGGAGCCTCCACCACAAAGTTCCTTCTTTAATTGGTTCAGTCAATATTCAATGTCTTGTAGTCTTGTTGATTCATTTTAAACAAAAGAAACTTAGTATCATATGCATACACACACATACATATACATATATGTATATGGCTTGCAAGGATTACTGCAAGAATGGAATAGATAATTGGCATATCCAACTCTGACTAATGAATGGCAATTAGTCTAGCAGGATCTGAACAATCAAAGAAACAATTGATGAATATGACACTAAAAATGGTCCACACTTACTGATAGGTTCCGAACTTGAACAATGTGGCTACAAAGAGGGCAGCACAAATTAATGGGGACTGGTAGTCTAAAAAGGGCTGGGCCCATATGTCTTGCATATACTTTTGCCTTTGAGACAGAGCAGTTTCAAATATTGTATTGAAATGGCAGGGAGAAGGTTTCAGGAAAAGAAACAAAGAGAGGTCAGGAGGTCTCAAAAGCACGGATTTTATTTCCAGCTGGGGCCCTGGAGTGGACTATGTCCAAAAGCATCCAGAGCAATGATATAGGTGCGGACTTTCCCTTTTATAGTCTCCAAATGCAAGCAAACAAAGAACATACGTCTACATACATTGACCTCATTTACTACGTCATCTTAGCATCATACAAATATCAAGTTCTACCTTCCAACATGCAAAAGGCATGTCTCTGTGTCTTTCTTTCTAGCAGCAGCTTACATTCATCCGTCAAGGGGCCTAACTTTGACTTGTCAGGAGCCTAGTTGTACCAGTCTGTTGCCACTAGGACAGGCTTATCTCTCTCCTGGAATGTATAGATAACATGCCTCCTCTTCAGCCCCTCTCTTGCTGTGCCTGGATAGCAGCTTGCTTGTCCTGTTAGCATTCTTTCTATACAGAGAGAACTTGATTTTTCTATACATTTCAGTGCTTGTAAAGTACATACAATTTATACATAAATAAATATCTATTTTTCCAATATCTCCTCATCAGTATCTATTTTATCTGATAAGAGCTAGGAAATAAGTATCAGCCACACTCAAAACAGATTTATTTATTTATTTATTTCCTATATTTTTACCCCGCCTGTCTCACCCCTGAGGGGGGACTCAGGGCAGCCTCGCAAAAGCATCATAGGATGCTGACATCATAAAAACAATCAACAATCAGCTGGATTGATTATTTTAGATTGTGTCTTGAATTTTGAACCTTGTTCTTTCTATGTTGTACAGCGCTGTGAGTCGCCCCCGGGCTGAGAACAGCGGTATATAAGCAAAGTAAATAAATTAATAAATTAAAATATTTAAAGCAGTAATTAAACAATTGATTAAAAACACACCTGTTAAAATAAAAATATCTAATATAGCAAAACAGCTTCTAAATACATACAAACTTGGTGAGGATTCCTTGATTGTAAGCACAGCCAGTACCCAGTTTTCCTACTCTCAACAATACAGGCCCAGGCAACTGAGCCAAGTAGTACATGAGACAGACCTAAATAAAACCCAGCTGAACTCTTTCAGGAAATAGCTTTCTCTCAGGAATTCTGGGCTGTCACAAGATCTCCACTATCATAGAAGCCTAGAATCCAAACAAATGGCTGTTCTTTCATGAGACTTGAGGTCGACTTCATGGAAGCCTACATGTCATTATCCAGCATAGCACTGATGAAAACCAATATGTGTTTGGCTAAGAAAAAATTGAGTGTGGGAAAAAGGCAAAAGTTATTGATAAAGTAAAACACACATTAGGAGAAGCTATAGCTTTTGTTGGAACCTGTTGGAATTGGCAGGTTTTGTCTACTGAATTCACCAAATACAAACCACTTTTCTAATTAGAACTTAGTTTGCAGCAACTGAGTTAAGGCCATGTCTACATTGACCACTTAGGTCAGTGTAGAACTGGATCAGCTCCATGATGATGAAACAGTGCACAGAGTTGATCCAGGGTAATGCGGGATAATCACCTTTGATTAGCCAAAGTCTGAATTCTGGCACAGAATTTGGATTACCCTACAGATTTGGGACTGTGAGAACAATTGCAGTGGTTATGGAATAGGCTTTGGCAGCCCAGGAATGCAGAAAGGCAGTCAGCTCCTGCCCCCCAACCACCCTCCATGCCACAGCAATCTCTCTCTTTTTTTTTTGCATTCTTTTAAAGAAACAACCATAGATGTCAATTGCTTTGAAACAGACTATGCAAAAGATGCAAGCACTGGGGGAAAAAAATGAATAAACCTGAGCAAATAACAGAAAAACTAGATAAATATAGTGACTGGGATTTCATGGCTCTTTTTTGCTGACACAGAGAGAGGGCCCATCCATACCATCCTATATCCCAGAATATCAAGGCAGAAAATCCCACATTATCTGAGTATGGACTCAAGGCCCGTCCAGACAGGACCTTTATTGCGGGAACTCCCGCAATAAAGGAGGGGCTGTCCAGACAACATTCTGATCAGTCCCGCATTAATTTGCCACAAAACCAGGAAAACCCTGGTTTTGTAGCAAATTAATTTGATAGTGCATTTATTCCGTGCCTTATTTTTTTTTAAAAAAGATTTTTATTGTGGTTTTTTATACAGTGAAGATTAAAAAGAAGAAGTCTCAGAAAGAAAGGAAGGTGAGCAAAAAGAGAGGGGAAAAAGAAGAGGAAGAAAAAAAAGTACTATTCTATGTTGATCTTCCCAGTCTTCTTTTTTGTGGTTACATATTATTCCTTCTGATTTTATTTGTCCATCTGTTCCTCCTCTGTCTAATATTTTTGAAGTGGCTTTTTGTTAAATCTGTTTACTTTATATCTTCAAGTTGATTTTAATCTCTTTCAGATAGTCATTAAGTAATATCCAGTCCATTATTTTTATACATCTACCTTGTGATTTTGCTACTAAAAAGGCCAGTTTGTCTATACCCATCATATCCAGTAGGCCCAGCCCTCCCCTTTTCCTTTCGTCTGTTAAATTAGTGAAGTTATTCTTGGTTTCCTGTGGTTCCAGATAAATTTTATTATCTCCTTGTTCCAGACCTTGAATATTGGCATATTCCTTATGATTGGTAGATTTTGAAAAAGATGCATCAATTGTGGAAGGATATTCATCTTTACTACTGATATTCTCTACCTAACAGCGAAAGATTTAAGGATTTCCATTTATTGAGATTTTCCCTTATCTTTTCCATTTTGTTTCATAATTATTCTTCAGTAGTTGGGAGTTTTTTGCTCACAGTAATATGACCAAATATTTAATTTTATGTACTATTTGTAGTCCTGTAGTTGCTTTCAATTTCTCTTGTCGTTGTCCGACCATGAAGAAGATCGAAGCCTGGTACCATTATGATAACAAGGCCTTTGAATCGTTAAAGCACAATCCCAAGCAAAACTCCATCGTGGTGAAATTGCCCCAGTACTCCGACAAGCAGAATGCCTCTCCATTGGACCGAGAGAGGAAGCGCTTTGACTCTGTAAGCTTTACTTGAGTACCTCCCTGCTAACCCAGATAGCCAACTATGGCACCTGCCTGGGGCGTATCAGGAGATGCTATGGGACAAGGCCCAAGCCTTCAATGCAAAGCTCTCAGATGAGGACTGTGCTGTCCCTAATACCCTAAGACAAGAAGCATCCTCGCTTGCCCATCATCAGATCCAGATGGAGAAGCATATAGGAGACACTTTGGGCAAGATGCTAGCCCATGCGGTTGCCATACACCAACACACCTGGCTCCGCTCGTTGGGTCTATCAATGGCTTCAAGGCAGGTCATTGAGGACCTCCCATTCGACACCCTCAAACTCTTTAACTCAGGAACGGACAAAAAATTGAAGTCCATTCACAAGTTCAAAACCTTGGTAGCAAAGTGTGGGGTGCAACCTCAGCAGCGACCCCAGAGACTTAGATGGCATCAGCCTCACTACAGAAAGCCAAACCAACTCTACTACTGACAACAGCAAAGGCAATCTCTGGCTTCACACAGCAGCGCCAGTGACGCCCTTCCTATAGCAGCAACCAGAAGCACCGTCCTCAGTCTGAACCAGTTTTAACAATTTCATCAACGATGCTGCCTCTTTGCCGTCTACTGCTGCTGATACCATTCCAACCATATATTAACCCTCCATCCCGACACACCCTTTCTACTAACAACCATAGTCAACACAGAACTCTTACCTCTTCCTGGACCATTTAGTCTGGCACGTAGCACAATATAACATCAGATGCTTGGGTCTTCAGCATTGTTCGAGAAGGCTACACCTTTGAATTCAAAGATCTTCCTTCAACAG